AAGTACTATACCTGGTAGCTGCACTATAGCTACCCTGGGTCTCTATAGGACCGCATAGTGGTCCCAAAATGGAAGCCGCCGTAAGCCACCACGAGTCATCGCAACCACAACGCCTGGTCTCAGGCCACCTTGAATTTAGCTTGAAAAACTGTTTCTTTGAACAAAAGGGTTACCTATGTGTCGGCAGAACAAGACATGAAGCAGATTTGACACGCGGCCGCAAGCGGCTGCGCGAGCTCATTTGATTGCTTCGACGCACACTTGTCGAGAAAGGGAAGCGCTGGCTTTCGTTTTGCAGCTTCTCAGGTATATAACTATATTTGTAACCTGGTTTTCATTCTTATTTTTTATCCCGGTTCATCCCGACTCAGACTCCCGTGCTCAGGTCGTTCCTCTCAAGTGCTGCCTCTGAGAGAGGTGCAGCCATCGCTCTCAAGCGTGTGAGGCGGCGAGTGCCGTGCAAGGCCCTGTAAGGCGTGCCAACAAACACTGGGTAACCCTGGGTCACTGGTGTCAAAAGGATTTGATAGCCATTTCCTGCCGCCTGGCAGTGACGAGATGCCATTTCCACATCAATTATTGGTGTGTTGTTTTCTGCATTTGCCAGATCTTTGGTCACATTCTTCTTCCCAAAAGGTCGGTCTCAGTGTGACGACGGTCCGGTCTGCCACGTACAAGGTTGCATTCTCCAGGCATTCGCACACGGGTCCGGAGGACCGAACCAAAGCCCAGGGAGCTCATATTATGATATATGATGTAAACAATAGTAAAGTTGTTTAAGATATCATGCAATAGTTAGTTAGTTAGTTAGTAAGTTTGTTTTGTTTACTTTTTTATATGGTGTGTTTTTGTTTAAATATTACTAATATTATTGTATTACTATATTGACAGAATTTGACATGTCCGGGAGCTACCACAATTATCCAGTTCTTCCATATGCCAGTGGCCCTCAGTTTCCCATGAAAAATAGAGGTTGTCACATCCAAAAAGGTTCCATGCTGTTTTTGCTAAGGAAAACCAGGTCTTTGATGCTTTGACCGTGGGGCCCCATGAAAAAGTTTGAGGAGTGACCGGGAGTTCCCAGTTCCTCCATCCCTTGTCGGTTCCGAGATGGGAGCTGCAACGTCAAACGGTGGAGGGAGGACAAGGATTTCGTTGGGATCTAGAGGTTGAAGGACCCTAATGACCATCCCAGTTGGGTCATTTCGTGGGGTCCTTTTGGAGGTCACCAAAAACCTCTGGAGTTCGGTGAGGAAGGAAACACCATTTTCGGCTGAACAGGTTGCAGGGTCAAAAGCGGAAGACCGAGGGACAAACTGGTTGACCGGTCAAGCTACGTTGCAGGGTTTGACTCACAGCCATGTATACAATACATAGCTAGCTATGCGTCTAACAGATGGGGTTCTCGAACTTCGCTTTAGAACAACTGGTGGAGTCAAGTCAGAATTGATATGCAATGAGATTTGCCTGTTTGATGAGGTGAACAATTAACAATATGGCTTTGCTAAACCATGAGGCAATGCTTGGAGAGAACTGTTTAAACAGGCTGCCGGACATGCAAGCACAAGCTTGCAAGCTAAATTTGTGTTCAAGCTGAGCAATGTGTGGTGCAATCACCGATTAGTGATTGCTATAACACAAATGCTTGGGGTGGTGTGCCTGGTTCCCTAGGACTGGCGTGGGATCGATAACAGGACATACATACTGACCAAAAGACTCCGAACAGAAGAGAGGAGTTCTGGGAAGGTTGACCATTTTGATCCATTTTGGCTTTCCACCAATAAGGAGGTGAGCACTGTACATGGTCCTCGCTATTATTCTGGCTGATTTACGGTGAACATCACGGGAAAAAAAACCTTCTTTTCACAGGAAGAAGTAAAGCCCCACCCAAGGAATATCCAAGCACGAAGCTTCTTCACCCAAGTGTTCGAAGAACGACAGCGAGAGCGTTCAGTGGAGAAAAAGAGCCAACGACAGCCGCCCATTTGGATCCTGTGGAGTGAATTCAGGCGTAATCGATGGTTGGCATTTCACATGTTTTGACGCCACAGTCTTAGACTCATTGATAGACCACCTAGTATGTAGGAAGATGGATTGAACAAGCATCGTATTCTCAGACCTCGGACTTGTTTCTTGTTCTGGGACTTGCACCTCAAGTAGAGAAGCATGGGTGACCCCCATTGCTATGGTTAGATGACAACAAACAGTCTTCTACTGACTATTGGCCCACTCCCCCCCCAACAGCAGACTTACACCGAACATTTGCACGCTGCGTTCGAGGCCTGTGCCCGCTGGCCCCAAGAAGCTCACAGAGGCCGTGTCTTGCAGACGCGGACGTGCAGATGACCTGCTGGCGGTGCTTGGTGTCCACTCGGGTTTTCATGCTTGATGCTGTTTCTTCTCATAAAACAATATTTACTGGAATCATGTATCCGATAGGGTAGATCGGTAGATGGATGGACGTTTCTCTCATTTTTTGGCTGGCAGACTCCTTAAGGCACTGGAAACCCATCTTTCTTTTTGGTCATGTCCGAGAGAGACTCGTGAAGGAAGGGCCACGTGAGGAGCATAGATCCACCACCAAGTCACTTCCCTAGGGATTCAGATAGCTTCTCAGAAGGTTCTTGGACCCTCCAACCGCCTACTAAAAGATATGTCTTCCTCCTCACCTCATGAGGGTACGTGGGGAATCCGACACCGGGCTCCTTTGCCGTGATCGCCAGGCAGATCGATTGGCACAGCTGGTCTTGGAGATCGACTTCGAGACCTCTTGCGTACCTCGAGGCGTGGCGACGTGCGTTTCGTGGCCGTTGTTTCGCCCAAGGGTTTGAACGCGTCGTATCGTTGACGCCAATGGGTGTATGTTGGTGGTGTTCTTTGGACGTTCGGAGGGTGTTATGGATTCAGCCTTTTTGGGAGGCTAAGATGGAAGGACATGCCGAACTTCAGGTTGGTGATAGTGACAACCGTGTTATGGATTCCCCCACATTGGGCTGGCCTTCTGAACCCATGTCCACCAAACGCCCAGTTGGCCCAGTGGCCCAATTTCTTCGAACTGGGAGGTCAAGGCCCAGTTTGTTGGGCCTTCCATCAGCTTTGACACACGGCTGTGGGTCATGGCTACCCGGAGCCCCTGGTAGGTTGTCCTCCCTATCTCCGTTTGTTTTGTTTGTCTTTGGTCAACCAAGGGTTCCAATTTTGGCCTGTTTTGCCACATGTTGCTCTTCAGCTCTGGATCCACTCGTGTTTGGACGCCCGACTGGGCTGAGTTTCGAGGTCATGTCCGACACGACACTCTGGAAGGCACGACGTCCGACACGAACTCTCTACACCCAAAGAGCCACTGTTGAACAATTTCAATACCCAGACCTTCCATGACCATGTATCCCACATGGCAATAGATTCCATGCATGGAGTGTCTGGGATACGTTTCAATACCATTGACAACATCACGGTGTCCTGGT